TCAGTTTTTTTCGGCGCGTGAAATCTCGCCTGCTCATTTCAATCTACCGAGTTTCAAGAGGCCGATTTGATAATTTCTGAATGATTTTTTCAATTAACGTGCTCTACAGTCTTTCATAGCAATTTTTTAAAGTGAAATTACCGCTTTCTGAAGTTTTTTTAGCCATGGAGCACAATTTCCAAGGTAATAATCGCTTCTGACAATAATGTTATGTTTATCAGTTTTTGCGCTTTCTTATGTTTTATAATTGCTCTTTCGAATCAACTTGGTAATTTCTGAAAGTTTTAACCGTGGAGCGCGATTGTGTTGTTCAAAATAGCTTTTTTTGGAATTTTCGCTTTTTCATTCCGACGGTGAAGGTCGCATTATTGAGATACGATATAAATGTCAGATTTTCGAGAATCGTTTTAATTTTATCAATAGAGCGCGTTTGATAAAAACAGTCACCAATCTTTTTTTTAATTTTAGAAATTTTCATTTTCATTTCTTATATCGAAGTAACGTTGGTCATTCTTAAAAATGAGCATATCTTTTCCGGGCATAAAAAAAAATAGCAATTCTTTTCTCGTCTCTTGCCGCCGCCTTTTTTTTTAACTACCACTTAGGAAGAGAATAAAAAGCACGTAATTTTCAGTCTTCTTTAGCTTTTCCTCGAAATTGCATACCAGCCGGCATAATTTTTCTTATTTTTTGCCTTCCAAAAAATGGGAAAAAATCAAATTCCAAGGCCCTTGATTAGTATTCCTTTTTAGTGTTGTTTGTTGTGGTGTCGTTGAGTTTTACGACTTTTTTGTGGGGCCCTTTTAGGTTTTACTTTTTTTTTTCCTACTCTTCCGGTTGTTTTATGAAAGTTATTTGGAATTCTTGAAATTTGCCGATCTTCAGCTCTTTAACATGAGCAATACAGAGCTCATGCTCTGAAGCTGGAGCAAAAAGCCAAGAAGAGCCGACACAAAATTCAATTTTCGGCCTCTTTCTTTTTTCAAAAACTCGTTTTTTAGTCTTGCCAAGAATGAGAATGGTTCTTGAACTGCTTTGGAAAAATTTTCGAAAAATTGAACTTTTTTTTAAAATCATTTATTTGCACCTAATACCTGGGTTATAAAGAAAAACGGTTCTAGAACGGTTTAAGGTTCCCAAAAAAATAAATCAAAAACTGGACCTTTTTTCATATTTGGAAAAAAAAAAAGAAATTTTTGATGATTGAAAAAAATCTGTAGTCCCTGAGAAACTCTGTCAGAATGCTTCTTCAGAACCTTTGAAAACTCAAAATGGCTCAGATGAGTGGTCCCTAGAGTGGCACCTTCAGGGACTCTTCTAGGGACCGGTCTGCTTCCTCCTACAGAAGGTACTAAGTGGCCACTCTGAGGTTCCAGTTAGTGGCCACTCTAGGGACCGTGAAAGCAAAAAATACTGGTCGGCTCGAAAAAAAAGACCGCTATAGTGACCCCTGAAGCTTCAAAGGCTTAGAGGTCAGACCCCAAACTCCTAAAGGGACCACTTAGGCTTCAGTTCTATAGGGAGCACTTCTTTGTCCACTACAGGCGCTTTTTCCTCTTCTAGTGACCACTCTGGCGTTTCTAAGTGACCTATTTAGTCTCTCAAGAAAGATTACTGTATGAGGAGCTTGTATCTTCTCTTCAAGACCCAAACAGGCTTTTGAAGCTTGATATTGGTACCTAGCTTCTTTAGAACTTCATTGACAAGGAAGGTAAGGAAAAAAATTAGCCTGAAGGTTCAAGACCCTCATAGAATCTCAAAGAGGCTTTTGAAGCTAAATATTGGCCTCTAGCTTCTTCAGAACTTTATTGACAAGAGAAGTAAGAAAAATTTGAGCCGGAAGGTTGGAGCGGCTTCCTAGAGCCTCCTTCAAAATTTTTGTCCATGAAAAAAGCGATTTTTGAAAGAAAATAGCTATAGAACTTATTTGGAAAGGTTTTTCTCATAAAATTTCATGAGAATTCTTGAAAAAAACGAATGCAAAAATAGTTAGCCGAAAGAGGATTCGAACCTTGATCATTGGCTCGGCAAGCTACTGCGCTAGCCACTGCGCCACGCTCCTAGCATCCTTGCAATGGTTGGTGGCGCGGCCAGATTCCTTCCAAACGGGGTCACATGGTTAAGGATAGAAACTTTAAAAATTATATAACCAAAATTGGAATTTCGAAACACCTAACCTACCTACAACTTACAATGTAGAACAAAGGTTAAATCGAGAGAGACAAAAAGTGTGTCGGCACTTGAAAAGTGACAAAAAGGCTTCGATTTCACCTTCTCGAAGCGGAGCCCAAATATCTCGGCTCGAATTACCCACACTTTCCGCCTCCCTCGATTTTCGGCGCATCCCTTTTTTTTTTCTTCTTTCGTCTGCCTCTTCACATACTCACTCATTCCCGCCATTTTCGCGCAGTCGGCAATTTTCAACTTTAATTGTCTTTGATTTGTGTGTTTCCACTTGAGTGAGCACTTGGCTAGGCTTCTTTTTGCTGAGATTTTAGAGGTTTAGGATCATTTTTAAGGAGTTAGAGATGGCCTGACATCTTTATTTTTATTTTTTGTACCTATTCAGATCTTTTGAGGCTTAAGGGATCATTTAAGGGTTTTGGCTTTTAGTAGAGTTTCCACTTGAGTAAGCACTTGGCTAGGCTTCTTTTGGTCGGGATTTTGGAGCTTTAGGATCATTTTTAAGGAGTTAGAAACGACCTAGCACCTCATTTTCTATGTTTTGCATCTTATGAAGTATTTTGAAGCTCTAGGGATCATTTAAGGGGTTTGCTTTTTATCGGTGTTTCCACTTGAGTGAGCACTTGGCTAGGCTTCTTTTTGCCGGGATTTTAGAGGTTTAGGATCATTTTTAAGGAGTCAGAGGTGACCTAAATTCTTTTTTTGTATCTGAGAAAGTATTTTGAAGATTTGAGTGGTTATTTTAGGGCTCTGGCTTTTGAAATGAGTTTTTTAAAGCTCTGATAGATCAACTTGAAGATTTTAAAAATTTTCTGAAGCCCTTAGAGTGGTCATTTTAGAGTTTCGAGACTTTGGAAGTTTTAAATCTGATTTTGAGCATTCTGAAGGCTTTCCAATCATTTTTCACGGTTCTTTTAGACCTCATTTTTGAATTTCTGTTCGTAAGGAAGTGTTTTGAAGCTTAAGGGATCACTTAAGGGGTTTGACTTATGAATGAAGTGTTTTAAAATTCTGATAGATGAACTTGGAGCTTCTAGAAATATTTTTTTGAGACCTGAGTTTTTCCTTTTTGAACTTTTTGAAGGCCAAAAAGGGCTTTTTTTTTGTTGCTCAGTTATCACTTCTCCATTTATTTTTCGAGCTATTTTCATTTACTAACTTGTAAAAAAATCCCTTTTTTTAGAACTTTTTGAATTTTCATATTTGAATTTTTTTGAGCAAATTAGGCTCTTCAAAGGCTATATGAAAAGAAAAGTTGAAAAAAATTAATTTTTCAGTTTTTCTTTTTTTAATCTCACAATGAAGGCCATTTCACTCTGCGGTTGGGATTTTCCTAAAAACTTGCCAGAACACTTTTTGATGTACCAGAAGAAGATTCTGAAAGTCTGAACTTGCATAACTTCCCAGTTACCCAGAAATAAGGGTCTAAAGCAACAAAATACCTCATTTTGATGGATTTTGAGGATTTTCTTTGAATTGTCAGTGCGAAAAGTAGAAAGTTGGACAGCTTGAGGCTTTCAGAATCTTTTTCTGGTGGATCAAGAAGTGTTCTGGCCAATTTTCAGGAAAATCCCAAGCACCAAGTACAATGACCCCTTGTTAAGCCAGTGTTTTCAATAAATTTTCTGATTTTTAAATTTTTTGGTAATTTTTTGTCCTTAACTTTAACTGATATCCCGTAGTGGTTGGCTCAAAAAAAGGGATTTTTTTTTTTGAGATTGTAAAATTGTCGAAAAAAAAAAGACGACGTCGAACACGCAAAACGAGGCTTCCATTCCGGGCCATTTGTCGGAATGAGAAATTTACCAAATACATGCGAAAAGGAAAGAAAAAAGATAAAGGGCGGGAAAAGGACACACAAAAATTGAATTGGTTTTGGCTTTTTTGTTTGAAGAATGTAAATATTCATTTCTGAAAGGCTATTTCAATTTGGCTGAATTTTTTGGGTTGGTGGATTTTTTGTGTTTTTATGTAGAGAAGATCTACAGGAAATTTATGAAGACTATACATTTTTTTGGATTTTTTTCACGTTTTTCGATTTTTTTATAAACACATAGTAATTTTTGAAGGTCAGGAATTTTTGGATTTTATCGATAACTTAGCTATCAGTTATCAGATCAGTAAATATGAATTCCTTGATTTTTTTCAAAGCTTTATTCACTTGTAAACAAAAAAATATGAAGCATTTTTGAACGGAAATATAAAAATTTTTCGTTCAAAAATCATTGGCCAAATGGTCTGAGTGCATTTGAAAGACTCAAAAAAATGTGTCAAAAACATTTATTAATTGGGAGAAGTTGCTCTAAAAGATCTTATCAATCGGATTTTACAGTTTAATTGATTTATTCTGTTTTAAATTCCTTAAAAAGTGCAGAAAAAAATTGCACAAAAAAATGACTTCGTCTCGAGACCCATTGCAAAGTTTGGTCCATGCTCCTTTAAACTTTTTCAATAAAAGGGTTTTTGAAAGAGGGTTATATATTCATTTGTGAACAAAAAATCATGCATTTTTAACCGAAATTTTATTCTTCCAAAAATCGTCCGCCAAATAGTCTGACAGCTTTGGAAAAACACAAAAAGGCGTCAAAATATTTCAAAATTGAAAAAAGTGCCCTAAAAGATTTTATCAAACGATTTTCATAGTTTCGTTGATTTTTCCTGATTTAAAAGCGCAGAAAACTGCACTAAAAAACGACTTCGTCTCGAGACCCATTGCTAAAGTTGGTCCATGCTCCTTTAAAGTTTTCGAAGAGAATTAAAACTAATAACGCTGTTTTTCTTCAATTTTAAAGAGTTATGATTTCAGACAGACGGTTATGGACAGCGAGTACCGCATAATATTGAACGTTGGCGGTGTTCGGCACGAGACTTACAAGCATACGTTGAAAAAAATCCCAGCCACTAGGTGAGGTTTTTTCTCCATAGTTTTTCGGTTTCATATACAATTTATTCTCCTTCAGATTATCAAGATTGACGACGAGCCTGGCCAACTACGACCCCGTCCTCAACGAGTACTTTTTCGACCGGCATCCCGGCGTCTTCGCTCAGATTTTAAATTATTATCGGTGAAGAATTTAATGATTTTTTTTTTGACAGAATGACTTTTTTACTTGGAAAACGTTTAGTGACCACTTTAGGGTTTTGACTTTTTAGTGTCCACTGTAGTAGCCTCTTAAGTGAAATTTTGTGTCTTCTTTAGGAGTCTAATTGGAACTACTAGGCCAATTAAGAATGCTATAGTGGCCACTCTAGGGTTTTTTCGTTTGAGTGGCCACTTAAGTGACCCCTTCAGGAGCCTTATTGGTACTACTAGCCCATTAAAAACTACTGTAGTGGCCACTAAGACGCAAAATAGTGGCTTCTACAGAGGTGGTCCTCTCTCCAAGTAGATCTTGAGGGGCCACTTGAGGGGCCACCTGAGTTTTTCTGATCGATATTCGAACTAGATGAGAAAGATTGTTCCCAAAAAATGAAAACCATTTTTTTTTTCAGAACGGGTAAACTTCACTATCCATTGGACGTTTGCGGGCCGCTTTTTGAGGAAGAATTGAAGGTTTTTTTGATATTTTTTCTACTTTTTTCTTGTTTCTCATAGATTAGAATAGATATTTCCCTCTATCGATTTTTTTTAGTTTAAAAAAACAGTTTTTCTCCTAACGCCTGAAACTCCTACAAAGGGTTAAAAGGTCAAAAGTGTCGCCAATTTTGGTTTTTTTTTTTTTACAAAATTCAAATTTTTGGACTTGAACTTGAACTTGAAAAAGCTTCTTTTTTTAAAGTATATATAGACCTTCGAATTGTTATCATTTTTTAACAGAGAGGCTGATTTTTTTTTTGCGGCTTGGAACTTTTTTTAAACATGCCCAAACACTCTTTGAAGGCCTATACCTAGTAGTGAAAACGTACGAAAACTTTTTTTTGAGATATGGCTTTTGAAGTTTCGGAATATGGGTATCAGACTTGATACTGTGTTGGACGCGAATCTTTAGTATTTTATCTCAAAAAATTTATTTTTTCGCGAGTAGACACTATAGGGAACCGTCATTTGGAACTTTGTAGAATACATTTTTTTAAAATTTTGAACTTTGAAACAAAATGACCGCCCTTGTAAAAGAATCTTTTCATTCCAAGTGTTTTAAAATTGAAAAAATCTCAATTTTCCAGTACTGGGGCCTTGATTCCAACGAGTGTGAGCCATGCTGTTGGATGACGTTGTCGGGGACCCGGGATACGCAGGACGTTTTGAAAACCCTTGACGAACTCGACATTGAAGTTGATCAGACTGAGGGACCGGTAGGTTTTTGATGATTCTTAGAAAAAAATCTCATTGTTAATTTCATCTTTTAAAAAATCACAATCACCTTGGGAAGGTCAGAGTGGCCCCTATAGGGGTTAGAAGATTGAACAGTCCGCAGCGGACAAAAAGGGCTCCCTATAGGGGTTAAGGGTCTGACCCCTAAGCCTCTAAAGCTTAAGTGATCCCTTTATGGGTCTTTTTTAATGATTTTAAAATTTTGTCATTATTTTGGAAGTAAAAAGGGAATGAGTATGGTTTTTGTCTGAGCTAGATGAGTAGGTTGAGGAAAAGAGTCAAATTGGAGTCCTACTGAATTTCTCTTGATTTGAGAAAATGTAGAAACTGACTCTTTTCGTTGCCGCTCCCTGCTTAGCGGTGTTGTTGCCTGCCACGCGGGTCTTCTTCTTCTTGAGTGAGCGTTGAGTGCGGGTCGGACAGCGATCCGTTCAACCTCAAACTTGGGTAATTAAACCTTTATCATAAATATTCCGCGAACAAATTATAACGATAAAGTAATAAATTCAAATAAACAATAAGAATGGAAGATTGAGTGAAAAAAAAAATGAAAAAAAATGAAAGAGGAGAAATGGTTTGGGGGCGAACGACGTGGCTGGCTAGACAGGTAATGGAATGGCTCCTAATGGACCTTTCCCCTGGCGAGCCAGCCACGTCATCCTCTGAGTGGCGGGGAGGCATCTACCTTTGAGTCGGTGTCGACAGGAAGTTCGTCAGCTTTTTTTGATCGATTTACTGATCCCTTGTTGAACTTCTCTTGATTCTTTAAGCGTCAATAAGGAAAAATAAGTCAATCAATTTTTTCCAGGAGCTCTACAAGCGATTCGGCTGGGAGGACGACTTCCACAACGACAGCTTGAGCCCCTGGCAAAAGTTGAAACCTCGGATTTGGCGGCTTTTTGATGAGCCGAGCTCGTCGAGGTGTGCTCAGGTGGGCTTTTTTTTTTAAAAATAATTTCGATTTTTTATTATCTTTCTGGGCTTCGAAAGTGTGCCCTGGCGTCTTCCAGAAAAGAATATATTACAAAAGCTGATTTCTTGTTTCTGATAGGTTTGCGCGACCCTCAAGTGACCACTTAAAAATTTATGGAACAGTGAAGGTTTCTGAACCATTTAGTGATCACTTAAGTGGGCCCACTCCGCTAAAGTTATCACTAAATGGTTCATAAACGTCAAGCTTGCGAAAGCTCTGTGTGCGTCCAGTCGAAGATCATAGGGAAAGCTTCATCTCTTATCTGAAAAACCTTTAGTGGCCACTTGAAAATTTATAGTAGAACATGTTTGTAACTTGCATCACCTAGGACACCTGGAAAGCACACTGAACGTTTCTGAACCATTAAGTGATCACTTAAGTGGGCCCAATTTGCTAGAGTTACAACTAAATGGTTCAGAAACGTCAAGTTTACGATTCCACCGTCTCAGTTCACCAAAAGATCATAGTCAAAGCTTTTTCTCTTCTCTGAGAACCCTTAAGTGACCAATTGAAAAATTTGTCGTGGGAAATGTGCAGGTGGTCCAGTAAAATACCTTCTGAGAGAACCCTTGAGTGACCACTTATAAATATGTTATGAAAGATCCGACGCGTGTCATTTGTAGTACAGTAAAAGATCATAGTTAAAATATTTTCTCAAAACCCTTAAGTGACCACTTAAAAAATTTTTGGTGGGAGATCTTCAGCATGTAGTTTGTAGTACAGTAAGAGGTCAAAAGTGAAACGCTTTTCCCATTTTAGAACCTTTAAGTGGCCACTTCCAGATACGACGTGGAAGACTTGTAATTTGTAGTACAGTGAAGTGTCAAAAGCCTTTTTTGAAAACCCTCAAGTGGTCACTTCATCTTGTTGATTTTCCAGATCATCGCCTCAATCTCCGTATTCTTTCTAATCACGGCCATAATCGTCTTCTGCCTGAAAACCCACCCGGGGATGCGGATAGCCGAGATTACCGCCTTCGGAAACATCTCCAGGAATCATCGATCAGTTCATCATAGCCACTCTTTCCATCCTTCCGCTCCTTTATCTTCCAAAATCCAGCTCGCTGGGATCGGCGTCGACAAGGACAACTCCAGGCCTCATCCCACTTTTATGGTGACATTTTTGGATATATTTCATGGTGGTTTTATATTGAGTATTGAGCCTTAACTAATTTTATGACGTCATCTGGAGGCCTATAATGACGTCATTATATTGAACAACCCTTTTTTGAAGAATTTCTAGTTTCCTGCCGAAAATATAATAAAAAACGTGTTCGTGGAAATATGACTTAGGACGTGAAGATATCATGACGTCATTAGGAAGACCGATGATGACGTCATTAAAACAGAAATATCGAAAATTGATTTTTTTTAATGACGTCACAGACCTAAATTTGACGTAATGAATTGAATTATAATGACGTCACAGACCCAAAAATGACGTCATTTTTATAATTATGATGATGTCACAAACAGAAAATTGACGTGATTTTTTTTTATAATGATGACGTCATATACTCAAACTTGACGTAATTTGTTAGATTCTGATGACGTCATAGACTCAAACGTGACGTCGCTTTTTTTAAAACTATGATGACGTCACAGGCTTGCCGTCATTTTTTAAAATTCTAATGACGTCACAGACCTCAATCATTGCTTCATGATAAGTAATAGAGTATAGAATCTCAATATTTTATAGTCTATTTACTAAGATTCTGAATTTCAGCGAACGACATTCCGCTGTTTCACTGCGTGCGGTCGCGAAGCGGCTTTGCGTTTTCGAATCCCGGTCGCGCTTCTATTTTTTTCTTAAACTTTAGTACTCAACTTTCAAGTGCTCCCAATGGAGTAGTCCATTCATCAACAATGATAATAAGTTCAAAGCGTGACCGAGATTCGCAAAGACGCTTCGCGACCGCACGCAACGGAACAGCGGAATGTCGTTTGGGATAATTCAAAGCAGAAAATAAAAATCACATTTCTGCCCTTTTTGAATCTTTCGTTTCAGTATATCGAAACGATTTGCAACATTTGGTTCACGATAGAAATCGTCGTGCGATTCATGTCCTGCCCGTCGCGTTGGGAATATCTCAGGGTAATTTTGAAAGCTCAAAACTCCATTTGAATGATTTTTAAGGCCCCTGTGAACATTATCGACATCGTGGCAACGTTGACGTTCTACATCGATCTGCTGTCGAGCATGTTCGGCGCGACGGCCGATCTGGAATTCTTCTCCATTATTAGAATTATGCGGCTCTTCAAACTGACCCATCACAACTCGGGTCTCAAGATCCTGATGCACACTTTTAGGTTCGTTTTAAAAAAATTGGAGATCGTTATAGCCCATTCTCGTCACGCTTTTCATTTTCATCGCTTCGTTTCGATGCGCGAGTCCTGTCTCTGTGTATGCGCCTTTAATTTCAAAGACATTTTGGGCTAGCAGTAAAATGAAAATCGTGACAAGGTGGCGTACTGAAAAAAGTCTTTGTGGTTACTTTAGGGTCTTCTTAGTGGTCACTTAAGTGAATAAAATCTAGTGGCCTCTTTAGGAGTCTAATTGGTACTACTAGACTCCTAAAAACCACTGTAGTGGCTACTAAGAAGAAAAATGTGGCTTCTAAAGAGTTGGCTCTAGTGACCACTTTAGTATCCTTGAGGAACCACTTAAGGGGCCACTGAAGTTTTTCCCAGTGAATGAGTCTCAGGGCTAGTAAACCTATTTCTTGACAGCGAAAAAAATTTTTTTTGACTTGAACTATCCCCTTTAAAAAGGTATCAGTGAGTGATTCAGAGCTTCGGCGAAAGAACTGATGTTGCTGGTGTTCTTCCTGGTCCTCGGCGTCGTCGTCTTCGCCTCCCTCGTCTACTATGCCGAACGCGTCGAGAGCAACGAGGACAACCAGTTTCAGAGCATTCCGATTGGACTTTGGTGGGCGGTGAGTATTAAATGATCTGTCTGTTATTAAAAAAAAATGAATAATGAGAAAACTCAGCCTAAAAGTCATCTGGAAGGTAGTTATCTTTAAACTTATTTATTGGAACTTTTTCAACCCCTACAAGTTCGTTCTAGTCAAGCAATAGCTAGTCCAGCTCACAGAGATTGAAAATTTGAATTTATAGAGAAAAAAAGGGCCTATTAGTCTCCTGAAACGAATCTTCATGTCTCTCAACCTCAGGAACTCCATAGCGGTCCCTATAGGGGCCACAAAAGTTTGCAAAAGTGGTGCCTAGAACGGTTTCAGTTAGGGGCTTCTATAGGGGACATACTAGTCAATAGTTTTACTCTATAACATGAAAAAATATCGGTAGTGGATTGGCTAAGAAGTTAGACAAAAAACCCTAAAGGGACCACTTTTTCGGATATTTACCCCCTAACCCCTATAGGGATCACTCTAAAATTCCTGAGTAGGGACCTCCTCCTCACGTTTGTCTTTAAGTATTCCAATCTGACGAATAATCATTTAAAAATCCTAAAGGGACCACTTCAGCTGTAGGGGCTTAGAGGCCAGATTTTGAACCCCTATAGGGACCACCTAAGTTTTCAAATCTGATGAAAGATTATCAAAAATACTATAGGGGCCACTTGAGCTCCAGGGGCTTACAGGACAGATTCTGAACCCCTATAGGGACCACATAAGTTGTACCCCTTTGTACCCCAAAGAGCACTTTCCTAACTCCTATAGGGACCCCTTGAGCTTCAGGGACACAGGGGAAACTTGTGAACCTAAAGGGACCACTCTAGTGTACTAGAAAGAATGGTAAACCCTCAAGTGGCCACTCCTGCTCAGATCGTGACGATGACCACCATCGGCTATGGCGACATCACGCCGCACACCTACCTCGGCCGCCTGATCGGCTCGATTTGTGCCCTGGCCGGTGTGCTGACGATCGCCCTGCCAGTTCCGGTAGGCGTGCGGTCGCGTCGCGGTTTCAACTTTTGGAAATTCAGGTCATCGTGTCGAATTTCGCCATGTTCTACTCGCATACGCAAGCCAGATCGAAGATGCCCAAAAAACGGCGGGGTGTCCTGTCCTTGGACCAAGTCGCTCAACATGTGAGTTTCTTTGGGTCCAAGCAAAGTCCCAAGCTTTGCTTGGGAAATTCTAATTTTCGCCGTGGAGCGAACTTGGTTTGATTCTAATTTTCGCCATGGAGCGAACTTGGTTTGATTCTAATTTTCGCCATGAAGCGAACTTGCTTTAAGCAAGAAGCTTGAGAGAGGTCATTCATGTCGAAAAACTTCAGTTATAAAAATTATTTTTTTAACTCTTGGTCAACAGGTGAAACACCCGCCGCGAGTGTCCAACGGCCCACGGCGAAACATGGAAAATACGCCGCTCGTCGAGAAAAATCACAGAAACAGCACCGCAATCTCAAACGCAACCAATTCCCCGCCCCACACTCTAATATAAGTTGCGGCGCACCCCGGGGTGTAGCTCGTTAAGCTTGAAATGCCTATTAAGGTACTCATTCCGTACACAAAGTGGTTTGTTCTCCAATATCACATCTTCCTACAGTGTCCTCCTAGACTGTTACGGTAGCTCAAAGAGAACTTTTTTTGTTCCAGGGGTGCGCGCCATGGGGTGCACCGAGGACATTTTTTCGGGGTTCACTGCGGGGTACCTTCTCATTCTTGTTAGAGGCTCCAGGGGTGCACGCCATGGTCCACCGCGGGGTGCACCGAGAAAATTTTTTCGGGGTTCACTGGGGGGTGCACCCTCGTTTTTGTCAGAGACCCATGGGTCAACGCCATCCAAAGCGGGGTGCACCGAGGACATTTTTTCGGAGTTCACTGCGGGGTGCACCCCCATTTTTGTTAGAAGCCCCAGGGGTGCACGCCATGGTCCACCGCGGGGTGCACCAGAAACATCATCGAAAAGTTCACTTTAATACCCCTCATTTTTGTTAGAAATGATTATTTTTTATTCTGTTCCCCGCCCAATAACCTCTTTCAAGTGATATTTGCTCAAAAACACTATGAAATTATCTAGAAACTTTTTCTCAAAAAAGAAATCCCACACATCAAATAAAACCCCCCGAATCACGAGTAACACAAAAATGATCTCTGAAATTTATTTGTTGATAAACGACTTCTCACATAATTTATCCAGATTAGCACAAATAAAAGAAAGAAACAGTTTCAACTGAGAAAAAATGCTTAAAAAAAGAAACAACAATGGAATTTGGGGCAACAATAAAGTTGAGATTTCGGAACTGTAACGAAAATGAGTAAATATTGGTATTGAAAACAAACCTGCTGCAGACGTTCGTTTTAAAAGAGCTGAATTATTTCTAAAACACAAAAAAAGCCTACAAAAGTGAGTTTGAAAAATAAAACTTAAAAATAATTTTTTTTTTTTGGTTTTTTGAATTTTTTTCTTGGAATCCGCCTAGACCTACTCCAGCTCAACCTGATCGTCATACTCCTCCTCGTCGTCGTCCTTGACCTTCTCGTCGTCGACGTCAATGTTGCGCGACGTCTTCTTGTCCGAGACGACGACCACCTCGATGCCCTCCGCGTTGCCCTCATCCTCGCCTTCGTTCTTCACAATCACTTCATCCTTTCCAGCAGTTGTCGGCTCGGCGTCGTCGTCATAGTGCTCGTCGTCCTCTTCTTCTTCTTCCTCTCCGTTTTCGCCCTCTTTTCTGGTCTTCGCCTTGTCTTCACCCGCCGCCAACTCTTTCTCGAGCTGCTCCTGACGTTCCTCGATCTTTTCTGAAATCAAAGAGTCATGGTCATGTTCGGAGTATCTAAAAGCAAATATTTAGGGATTCTCTTTGAATCATGAGACGTCAAGGTCTCTCTTTCACCTCAGGATGGATCCTGAGATTTCAAGCCTTTTCGGCGCTTTCTGAAGGCTCTAGAAGTCTTCAAGCATCTTGTCAATCTTTACAACCCTCCCGAAGAGGTTGGGCCTGTTTAAAACCTACAAACGGCTCCAGAAGACGTCAAGGTCTCTCCTGCACCTCAGAAATTATCCAGAAGATGTCAAACTCATTTCTCATTTTCTAAAGACTCCACGAGACGTCAAAGTCTCTCCTTCACCTTAGGAATTTTCCAGAAGATGAAAAACTAGCTTTATGAAGGCTCCAAAAGTCGCAAGGTATCTTTTTAATCTTCAGAACCTTCCAGAAGACCGTCAAGCCTTTTAACGGCTACAGGAACCGTCGAGATCTTCATAGATATCTCCAGAAGACGTCGAGACCATTTTATGAGTCGAAGCTTTTCATCAAGTTCCAGACCCCTTCCGAAGACATCATCTCCCACCAAAAAAACTCACTCTCAATACGCTTCTGCGTGGCCTGCTGCAGCTCCATGGAGCGTGGCGTGTGTTTGACGGGCTGGAAGTAGATTCTTGGTTCGGACGACGTCTCGATGAAGTTGGAGAGAAGCTTGAGCTGTGTGATTCGACCATCAGCCTGGAGATTCAGGGATGACGATGATATTCGAGGGAATATTAATTACATATTGCATCAGAGCACGTTTGCGCTGAAGAGCCTTCAGCTCAGCTTCCTGTTGACGACGTTTGTCCATGAGCGATTGCTTATCGGCCATTCTCTTGAAAAGATTGATTATTTAATTTTGAGTTAAACCCTGAAGAATGCTGAATTTCACTGTCTATGATTTATGAGCCAAAGTTTTCATTTTTTGTTTGCCCTTTTTGATCTATCCATGATTTTTCAAAAATGAGCCAATTTTCTGATTTTTCTGGACCCTATTTCGAACTAGTCATGATTTTTTGAAAATTGAGGCGGACTTTTCATTTCGCGGCCTATTTTTTTAATGTATCCATGATCTTACAAAAAAATAGAGGCAAATTTTTTTAAATTTTTTTGTGGACTCTTTTTGAACTATCCGTGTTTTTCAAAAAAATAAATCAAATTTTTTTCATTTTTTTCCTAGTCCTCTTTTGAGCTTTCCATGACCATCATAATCCACTCGAAAATTGCGGAGTAATAAATTTCAAGTAATTTTTATAAGATAATGAAACGAACTCCCTAAACTTCATTCCTATCAGCTTCAAAAATTCTCCCTAAACTAAGATTTGAAAAAAAAACACTTCTTTCTTACCTAAATGGGCCTACAAATACTCCTTCTCCACATCTTTTTTTACAATCCTGTGTTTTTTTTTCCTCCTTCCGACCTGTTCGCGCTCCTCGCGCTTCTTCTCCTCGAGCCGTCGCTCGACCTCGGCCTGCTTCTCCGCCTGGACGTTCGCCGTACGTTTCTCGGTCTTTTTGAAGTTTTGCAGGGTGCCCATCAGTAGGTTGGAGAACATTCGACGATTACTGAAAGCATAGGATATTTTGAATATTTTCTTTCATTGCTTCTGATAAATATTGATTTTTCAGGAATTTCAGCTCCAAAGGCTATACAAACCCCACTTTTTGTCAGATTTGTGTCAAATAATCTCAATATTCTTGTTCAGAGCCTTGAGATTCTAGTTCAGATTTCTTGAAGTTCTTCCAAAATGTTCGATTTATTAGCCTAAAAATACTCCCAGCTTTAAAATCCTTCCAAAAAAATCTTCCTAACCTTTTTTTCAAGTTCTTTTCCGATACAATCAAAAAAAAATCCCTCCCCCTATTTTTTTCAAAGTCCTGAGATTCCAGCCTCATTTTTCTTTCAAACTATTCAATTTTTCAGCCTCAAATCCTCATACCTCTAAAATCCTTTTTCAAAAAAAGTTTTTCTGGGGTTTTTGAGCCCTTTCCCGAGTTTCATAATTGATGAAATCCCTCCCCCCTATTTTTCAGAGTCCTGAGATTCCAGTTCCATTTATCATATGTTTTTTTCAAACTGTTCAATTCTTCAGCCTAAAATCCTCCGAGCTTTAAAAATCCCTTCCAAAAAAATCTTCCCGAGGTTTTTTTAGGCCCTTCAGAGTTAATCCAGCCGGTGTATGTCCACCCCCACACCCCTTTCTTTGAATCTGTCAATATTTCAGCCTCAAACCCCTCCCCCTCATTGCTCTAAAATCCTTTTTCAAAAAAACTTTGCAGGCGCTCTTTTTCAGCCTTAAACCCCTCCCCCACAGCTCTAAAATCCCTTTCTCAAGTGTTTGCAGACGCTTTTTACAGTCTTTAACCCCTCCCCCTCATTTTTTTCTGTTGTTCCCTTTTTAAAAAAATTTCCAGCCTCGAATATTCATTTTTTTATCTTTCTCACAGTTCTCAATTTAGAAGCTCTCTTCCCATTTTCCACAAAAATGGTCGTACCGCGTGGCGACCTCCTTGTTCTCGGACGTCTTCATCTTCTCGATCTGCTGCTCGCGTCCCCTCGAGTCGAGCGTCGGCATCACGACCGTCGACTGAATCGTCCTGAAATCAATCATTACCTTTCATTTCACAGCAAAAAAAGCCTTTTATGTCGCCTGTCGGCCTCGTCGTCGAACTCCTCTCCACCAGTGGCACTCTCTTCCAAATAATCGACCCGAGAACGTTTGGCCGGCATCGGCGCCGTCGCTGCCGCCTTTCTGTCGCGCTCCGCCTCGATGCTGTAGATGAACAAAATGAAAGATTGAACACAGTTCTTTGAATCGCAAAAGCTGTGCAGAGTGGTCACTTGAAAAGCCTTTTTCATGTCATGAAGTGAAAACCGTACCGCGAAAAACTCTAGGGGCCACTTAAGAGTTTTCTCAAGAACTATTTGGAAAAGACACTAAACTGGCCAGTGTAACAATCTCTATAGAAGCCACTATTTCGCGTCGTGGCCCCCCAATTCTACTCCTATAGTGGTCACTAGAACTTCATAACCCTAAAGTGGCCACTAAACATTCTCCCAGTGGTTCTTTGATTCGCAAAAGCTGAGCTCCTTTTAGTGGTCACAGCATTGTCAGGAATTTTTACTATCATAATACTGGGAAAAACTCTAGTGGCCACTTAAGAGGTTCCTCAAGGAGCAAAGTACACTAAAGCGGTCACTATTCCGGGTCTAAGTGCCCACTAGAGTAGTCTTCAGGGGTCTAGTAATACCAATAAAACGGCTAAAGAGGTCACTTAAGCGGCCACTAAAATCTACTACTACAAGGGCTAATAAAACGTCAAAACCCTAAAGAAATCACTTAAAAATGCTTTAGGGGCATAGCAGTACCAATTAGAATTCTAAAGAAGCCACTTAAGTGGTCACGAAAACGTTATAACCCTAAAGTGGCCACTAAAAATGTTTCCAGTGGTTCTTAGTTTCGCAAAAGCTGAGTGTTCAGTTAAGAAGCATTCCAAGATTTTTAAAGACTGAAGCATTTTCTAGCATGATATTCCCCTCAAGAGATCACTTTGAGAGAACCAAGTGGTCACTTAAGAAATATCCCCTCTATTTCCTCCGCTCTTTTCCCCGATAAAACTCACTGAACACGTCGCCGTGAAAAGCCTCCATCGACAGAGTTCCGCGACACGGTGACGTTGCCAAGGGAGCGCCGCTCGTCAAATCTATCACCAGCACCGTCACTGAAAATAGAATCCGCTTGAAGATGTTTCCCAACATGGAGAATCTTCGAAAAGCTCAACTTCCTCCTCTAAAAAAAGGGCAAGAAGGTCTAGGGATCATTATTGATCAACAGCAAACCGAAAAAGAATCTTCTCTGAAGATTTTAATAATGATCCGATAAGCTTCCGGCTGAACCTTTGTTAGATTTTGAATATAAAGCTTTGAATTAACCTATCAGGCTTTTTTTAGTATCAAAAAAAGTTTTTTTACCCTCAAACTGAAATTTTTAACTATTAAGTTTATTACTGTGTACTTTCCACGCTCCCAAAAAGCCAGAAATAACAAAACCTATCGATTTTCAAGCTGCTCCTCTTCAAAAAAAATTTTTTATCGATAGTATCAGAAAAAAAGAGCTTTTCTCCTCAAACATAAATTTATAACTTCCTGTTCTCCCAACAGTACTTTTAACGCTTTCAGAATGTCAGAAATGACGAAATTGGGTGACTTTCTAATTACTCTTCTTCACAAGAAATTTTTATAGAAATTATCAAAAAAAGAAACTTTTCTTCTCAAACAGGAAACTATAACCAATTTTTTTTTCCACCAGCAGTCTTCTCACTGTTCTTTTCCATGTTTCAAATAGACCAAAAACGACAAAATTGATCGATTTTCGTTTCTCCTTCTCAGAGAAACTATACTTATCATTTATTTTACTTTCCATCTTTTTCTTCTTACTAACTTCAAACGAGCGGAGCCGAACGAGGCAAAGTCACCGTTTTCATTGGATATACGCCGTTTTATGCCGACACCCGAGCTGAGCCTGCAAAAATTATTGATTATTGGATAGATATTTTTTTTTCGATGGTTTCATTTCAAAAACTGTTCTCACCTATCCGGCCTTCCGGACAACGTCGCCAGCTCGCCATCGATATCCCTCAGCTTTTCATAAGCCTGCTCGATTTCGCGCGACAAGTGATCAGTCATTTTTTCAACCTGAAAAATCGGTCAAACATGGAAAAAGTTCACAAGTTCAGATATTCGAAAAGAAACGTTGAAAGGAACCAGAGAACGAAAATCAACAGTCAAGACGTTTATTTAACAATCGTCAGGGAGAAAAAGGCCTTCTTGGAAACTTGCAACATAAAATGGAAATAAGGCATTGAAAAGTGGCAGAAAATTATGTTCAAAGCAAAGTGAGACGGTTGGAATGGCAGGTAAATTATGCGGAAAGTGAAAAATCGATGCTGGAATTTTCGAAGATGCCAAGAACCTTAGAACCGTTTGAAACAACGGGGAAGGTCAGAGTCAAAGTGCGCGCCGGCGGACAAGCACGCGTGCAAGTGACAACTTGAGGGTTTTTTAAAAATGTATAGAAGAGAATTAGATGCCGAGCAGCGCCTTTGAACCGTTTGAAACAACGGAAAAAGTCGTTAGAATGGGAAAGGTCAGAAGGAAAGTGCGCGCCGGCGGACAAGCACGCGTGCAAGTGACAACTTGAGGGTTTTTTTTTCAATGTATAGAAGAGATTTAGATGCCGACCAGCGTCTTTGAACCGTTTGAAAAAAACGGGAAAAGGTCAGAGGGCAAGTGCGCGCCGGCGAACACGCGTGCAAGTGACAACTTGAGGGTTTTGAGGTCGGGGAGGAGGTCAAATCGTCGATCAAAACCGCTGTGGAATGTTACAAGTCCGTTTAAAGTGCGCGAAAAATGAGGTGTCTATTTAAAGGAGCATAAGGATCTATCTTAAGGCGAAGAGCCAATTTCTAAAAAATTTCAGCTCATGAGTTGATTTTTACAGAGCCTACCAAGGTGCAGTAACTAGCAAAAAATATTTTTTCAAAAAAACTTGAGATTCCAACTTTTGTGTGATTATTATGCGACATGAGATAGCGAAAATTAAGTGAAAAGTGCGTAGAAAAATATACAGACGTGCAAATAAAATGGGCGTTTAAAGGGACATGGGTCGGGGCTCAAATGGGTCCGACGACGATGGCGTCCAGGATCTCGCCGGCTTCGATTTTCTCCTTGATTTTGGAACCATCAGAAATTTGTCCTTTCTGTGGCAGGATGAGCAGGACTTGGGCTCCAACCAAGCTCATCAGTCTGGAAGACATTTTTGAAGGTTTTGAAAGAAAATTAGGTCCTAAAATTACAAAAATGTGAGAAAACGATGCAATGAATCGAAAAAAGAGCTTTTTTTCACTTGTGTTCTTAGCCCAACTTAGAGATTTGATAGTGGTCTCTTTAGGGAGGAAAAGCAGCCCTACAGGGGCCGAAAAAGTGGCTCCTACAGGGGTGAAATCAAGGTGGACCCTATAGCGATGTAGGGTCTGATGCCTTAGACCCTAAAGCTTCAGAGGCCCCTATAAGGGTCTTGCGATTGCATTAAGAAACGCTTATTTAATAATTTTTGACCACTTTTGCAAGCTTTAGTGGCTCTTATAGGGGTCCTAGAAGAGACCCTCCGAGGCCTTTAAGGTTGCCCTTATAGGGACCACTCTGGAGCTTCTAAAGAAGCTATTTGAGAAAACATTTAAAATTTTCTCCTTGGAGCGCACTTTCCGAACCTTGATGAGATCTGATTGCCAGTGAGAGTAGCGACCGGCAAATCGCCACCTTTTTCCATATCGATCCAAGCGCGGCAATATTCTGGCCTCGGGCTAAGCTTGATTTCTTCAGCGGCCTGAAAATCGGGAAATTCTTATTTCACTTCGAAAATGATGATATCAAGAATTGACCCTGGGAAGTGGATTAATTCGAAAGTCTTCTTTCAAATTGAACTAAAACTGATTTGATGACCTCAAAAAGTCAGATTCAGAACGGATAACGAACATTTTTGATATCTGGAAGTTCCAAAGAACAGAAAAAGTTCAAGAGAAAAAAAAAATGAATGAAACTACTAAGCTTATTCTGACAGAAAAATCGAAATGAGGCCGATTTGAAGAGAGTAAAACAAAATAAGTACTGAAAAAGAGCATTATTTTTTAAAAAATTCCTTGAAGGATCACTGAAAAAAATCTAATTTGTTGCAGAAAAATCGAAAAGAAGCCGATTTGAAGCGAGAAAAACAGGATAAGTGCTGAAAAGTGGCTTTTTTCTTCAAAAAAACTCTTGAAGGATCACTGAAAAATCTACTTGGACGCGGATTTTGGAAGCGTTTTGAAGAACAAAAAACTGAAAAATAAGAAAAGGAATGAACTATGGACCTATTACTGTTAGAAAAAACAAAATGAAGCCAATTTGAAGCTTGAAAAACGAGGATAAAGACTGAAAAAGGCCATTATTTTTAAAAATCCCTTGAAGGATCGCTGAAAAATCGACTTCCTTTTAGAAAAATCAAAAAGAAGCCATTTTGGAGCTACAAAAGGAGGGTAACTACTGAAAAAGGGGCATCATCCTCCAAAACCCCTCGAAGGATCCCTATAAAACCTACTTTCTTCTAAAAATCGAGAAGAAGCCGATTTCAAGCTAGCCCTTGAAGGATCACTGAAAAATTAACCTTGACGCGGATTTTAGTGGCGTGAAGCCTGGAAAGGCCGGCTGAGAAACGGAGCAAGGGGCTGACGAAGAGGTGAGCACAGACCCAAGACGAGACCGGATTTCCTGAAATTCAGTTAGAAACTGTTTTTTCGAAACGCAGTCTGGAGCTTTTTTGATGGTTAGCTGCCTTAAAAGTTCACCTGGGAGCGCAAAAACGACAACTTCCCGGTCGGCAATGGAACCATGGGCCACGGTGCAAGGAAGGCCCGGTTTCATCCAAACCCGGCCGAATTGGATCTGAAACCTGGTGTTGAACAACTCAATCGTCTTCTAATGCATTATTTGGATCGAAATCTCGAAAAACTTCCTTTTTTTTCATTCTTGCCATGCCTTTTCACTCTTAAAAAGGTTAATTTCCTAATATTTGTCAATAATGTACCTAGAAATTCCAGAGTGGTCCCTATAGGGGTAATCTTGAAGGCTCTTGGATAATCGCCTCTAGGGACCATTTTACCAACCCCTATAGGGGCCACTAGAGATTATAAGGGAAATGCTTTTCATGTACTATATACGAAGAAGCATTTCCATGGAAAAAAACTGAATAAATAAGCGTTTCAAATGGAATTGAAAGACCCCTATAGGGACCACTCTAAGCTTCAGGGGGCTAACTTGCCAGATCTTGAACCCCTATAGGGACGACTTTAAGCTTTAGGGGCTAATCTTTCAGATGTTGAACCCCTATAGGGACCACTTTTCCGGCCCCCTATCCCCTTGCCCCTATAGAGACCACTTTTTGAATCTCTAGAGCTACCTTTGTCAGAACCTCGTAGAAAACGTTATAGACCCCCCCTGGCCCCCTGTAGGGGACTAGGGGCTGTTTTTAACCACTCACCCCTAAAGGGACCACTCTTGGATTCCTAAGTACCTTCCAGAACCTCATAGAAAAGTTATAACCCCCTATAGGGGCTATTTTAACCTCTTACCCCTACAGGGACCACTCTGGAATCCCTAAGCGCCTTTCAGAACCTTACGGAGACTTTATAGCCCTCTTAAAAGCACTACATTCATCTTTTTTGTTTTATTTTCCCGTTTCCATTGGGTTTTCCCACATTCCTTATCACTTATCCACCTTCAAGTTCAGGCGATCCTGCAGAACCTCCTTCAGATGATCCTTCTCGCCCATGCTGACGCCCCCAGACGTCACGATGACCGAGGCGAACTGGCTGGCAACGCTTATGGCGTATTCCAGAGTTTCAACTCTGAAATCGTCCCTCAGAAAGTGCAAAAATCAGGTTCCCGCTCAGAGAAAACGAGAAAGGACGCTCACTTGTCGAGCGCGATGCCGGCGTCGATGGCCTTGAAGTTCTGGCCGCGGAAAAGGGCCAAAAGCTGGGAACGATTCGAGTCGCGGATGTGGCCCAGTGGCACTTGGGGCATGTACGGCTCGACGAGCTTGGAATAAACAATGAATAGGGAACAGAATTAATTAACGACATAGGCAAAGTATAAGAATGTTCCTTTTAGGGTAAAAAAGGTTCCATTTTCCTGTCTTTTCGCGTCATTTTATCGCCTATTATGCACCACTTTTGCTGCCTCTTCTTTTTTCACCATTCCTTCAGCTCAGAAAAATGGAAGGCTCAATAAAAGGACCCTTTTTGCAGCCTTTTTTGAGCCATTATCCACCATTTTTTGCCCGGGAATTCAAAACCTTTGAAGTAAAACTCCCACACAGCACTAAAAACATGTAAAACCGTGTCCAAAGTGATTAAAAAAAGCCGTCAAAAAGTTAAAAAGATAACTAAATTTTGGAGAGTAAGAGAAAAATTCGAATTTCGCGAAAAATGGCATGAATACTGAGACGAATCTAAAAACCATGGAAAGAATAAGTTATTTTAGAAAATGATTTGAGTTTCAGTGAAATAAATAGATGAGAATGAAGCTGAAGAACCCTTTCTACACGAAGAAAAGAACATTAAAACTTCAAAATACACGAATTTCTCAGAATAGTAAAAAAAATTTTTCTATCTACAAAGTGACATTAAAAAAAATATTATTCACCTTTTTTTCATTTCTCACACAAAAATTGATGGAATAAATATAGAAAATGCAAACTTTTTGAGCAAAAAAATACAAAAATTAATGCTCTTAATTCGATTTTTTTACTCGGTAAAAAAACTATGAAAAAAAGAATAAAAAAATCGGAAAATATTCCCTAAAAATCAACTGAAAACCAACTATATTTCCTTTCTCATACAATAATTCATTTACGGAAATGTGGAAAACACAAAATTTCTGAGCGTAACTACAAAAAATAAAGCTATTTATCCGATAAAAATCCAAGAATATTCCGTGAAATCAACTGAAAACCAACCTCGTTACCAGTGGAAAGGACACAAACACGAGGCTTGCGATAGATTTCCACGTGTTGAATGCCAAAAGCGTTCAGAAGGCCGATTTCCGCCGAACCCATCTCGCAGCCGACGTCCAGCAACAAACTGCCGAGCTTAACGTCCGATCCTTTTTCTCTGGAAAATGAAATATATTTCAAAATGGCAGGAATGGTTTTCATGTACGCATTTATGAAAAGAAAAAAACGGACCTTTGATCAAAAAAAATAGCAAAATTTGAAGCTTTAAAAATCAAATTTAAAGTTATACGAAGCGAAGACTTTTTAAAAACATGTAATAGATCTCCCAGCTTTTTAACAAAGATTTTCTTGATACTTGAAATACACTTCATACAGGCAAAGAACGATTTTATGTACATCATTTTTGAAAGGAAAAAGCAGCTATTGATCAAAGAATTTACTAAAAGTTTGAAGCTTAGAAATCACTTTATATCCAATGTTATCTACGACAAAACATCTTTTTGAATGCTTTTTTAAAAAATTTTCCCGTCTTTTTCAAAAAAATTGTCGTTGTTTCTGAAATATACTTCAAAGAGCCTAGAACGGTTTTTATGTACACAGTTTGAAAGAAAAAAACGGAGCTTTCATCAAAAAAATAGCCAAAATTTGAAGCTTAAAATCACTTAAATTTGAAGTTATCTGACACGAAGCTTTTTGATGATGTTTTCGAAAATTTTCTGTTTTTAAAAAATTTTCTTGATTCTGTAAATACACTTTCCAACAGCCAAGAACGGTTTTATATACATATATTTACAGAAAAAAACAGAGCTTTGAATGAAAAAAATAGCAAAATTTAAAGCTTAAAACTCGCTTAAATTTGAACTTATCTATGACAAGAAGCTTTTTAAAAATTTCCCAGCTTTTAACATAATCTTCTTGTTTCTGGAAATATACTTCAAACATCCGAGAAGGAATTTATGCACATATTTTGAAAGAAAAAAACGGAGCTTTGATCGGAAAATTAACAAAAATTAAACGTTAAAAAAACTTTGAACTCGAAGTTGTCTACGACACGAAGTCTTTTTGAAAACGTTTTTCAAACACTTTTTCCCGTAAAAAAAATTATTATTGATCTTTCAAATATACTTCAAACTGCCTAGAACGGTTCCATGTACATATTTTTGAAAAAAAAACGGAGATCGGATCGAAAAATTACAGAATTTTGAAGTTCAAAAATACATCAGTTCACAACTATTCATGACAAAAAGCTTTTTTTAAAAACATTTTTCCCTTTTAAAAATTGTTTTTCTTGTATACTTCAAACAGCCAGGAACAAATTTTTTGTACATACTTTTGATAAAAAAACGAAAAATTTGATCGAAAATTTACAACATTTGAAGCTTAAAATCACTTAAATCCAATGTTATTTACAACACGAAGCTTTTTTTTAAAAAATTTGCCCGTTTTCAACAAAATTTTCTCGATTCCAAGACAAACCGAATATCCTGAGAAACACTTGGCGCTTTCAGAATCTTGATAACCAGCTCGTTTTCGCCCTGAAAAATCGAAATCGACTCAAAAATCGATAATTTTCAATACATCGTCCTTGAGCAGCTCCGTGTCTTCAACTTGAACGACCGCGTCGGCTCCGGCTGGAATGACCCCTCCAGTGCTCACTCGGATGCACTGACCCGGTTTGAGCTGGAAATCATGTTTTTATTATTTTTTTCTGGGAAAAAAAATTCACAGTTTGATTGGAAGGCCCTCCAGCTGTTGAGAAACCGATGACTTCCCTTTTTCCGGCTCCGTCCGAGGCTAGAATATTTTTAAAAAAATCATATTTTTGATTTCTAGGAAGCTACCAATCACTGCGTAGCCATCTTTGATTGAAGTTCGAGTTCTTGGAACGTCTTCCGGAGCGAATATTTGCTCTGCCAAGACTCTTCCTGAAATTTCTCAACTTCAAGAAATATTCCTGGCTTTTTGTAATAACCAGGCTGTAGAGCAGCGACAGGAAAGCACTTGGATTCGGGCTGAAACTTCCTGGCCAAGGTTTCGATCGCCTTCAAGGCTTCGTCCATCGGAATCGCCGGCCATTGGCTCTGCCTTGCCCTTTTCACCACGGCGCTACGCTCTTTTTGCTCCTTAACTCTTATATTTCAGACAAAAAAAACGGAATCAAAGAAAGGAACGGAGGAATCACCTTGGTTTGTCCCTCGACGGCCATTTTCTCCAAAGATACAGCTCTTGGCCTAAACCCCTGAACAAGACAAGGTTTTTTGCTGACTATGCGGAAAATATTTGCACAAGGTCATCGTTCTTCGATAACTTAGAACTTTCAGACTTAAAAAAAGCATAACAGACATACAACTGGAATAAAATAAGTCAAACATCGAAAAAGGTTTTGTAATAAAAACTTGACAGTAGAGCTATGTTCTACGCACTGCAGCTCTAAAAGCTTTCGCTCAATAATATACCCAAATAAATAAATAGAAAGCAACTGATATAAAAAAAATTAAGAAAAGAAGAAATGAACGATTTTCGAACAATGGAAATTTACCGCAGTTCGGCGCAATGCATGCACGCTAGAGTTTTGGCGCACATCCCGAGCACACCGTAAAAAAAAGTGAAAATTTGCGAAATATTGGTGGAATGCGGCTTATAAACATTTCCAAAGGGTGGACTCAAAATGTTTTTAATGAAAATAAGTTCTTTAAAAGGTTTTTCGGAAATTCGAGAGAAAAGGTGTTTTTGTAGGTCTACTTTTGGAAAATTTGACCTGAGTTCGACTGGCGAGATCATACAAAGTTTGGCGCTCTAGCGGTAATGGCTATTGTTGGCGTTCTATCTTGCAGTTTTTGTTTCTTTTTGTTCTCATCATCCAGTAGCTTTTCCACTGCTCTTTTCGTTCAATAAAAGTATTCTTGCTCACTTTTACGCCGTGTTTAAAGTGATTCCGCGAAATCCAAAATAGCTGTCAGAGACAGAAAAAGATAACTAAATTTTGAAGATTCAGAGATAATTTTTCATTTCGCAGAAATTACTTTGAGTACGGCAGTAAAAAAAAATACAGTTAGAAAAATTTATATTTTTTTGATAAAAAGAGTACTGTGGTTTGCTTTTTGTGCAAAGACAAGCTTACACCCAAAACTCGTCGTCACGACTCTTTTGTATTTTTTTATTTTTTCTTCTTACTTTCCGTGTCTCTTTGGTTTATTTTCAAAAAAAAAAGGTTTCAGGATAATGGTGGTGAAGCTCTACATGGGACTTTTACTTTTTGGCGCGGCTTTGGCCAATCCTATAATGAATGCGTCGTCCACAAATCTATTAACCAACACTTTAGGTTAAAAATCTGTTCTGGTGACTTGAAAGTCTAATTTTCGATTTAGAAACGCTGAAAAAGTCGGAAGGAAAGATTGACATGGCCAACTTGCTCAAGTCGTTCGACGCCCCAACCTGCATGCGCCGTTGTATGCCGCCATTGGACGGCTTGGGCAACTTGCTCAGCGGCAAAAAAGACGAGAGAATGGTCAGGAACCTCTGCAAGTCAGTCCAAATACCGAGAAGAAGGGGAAAAAGTTGATTTTGAAGCAAATTGCAAAATTCGACGCGTTGCGCGACGTTGGCCGGCTGTTCCCACGTCTTTATGGACGTCGTGACGAACGCTTTTCAGTTCATGTGCATCGAGAATATTGACAGTAAGTTTGAGAAAGGTCCAAGGAGAACGGAAATGCCTTTCCTGCGAAATATCATAGCCAAAATTCGCTTCAAGACCTTTGTCGAAAAGATCAATGGTTTTAATTTTCATGCAAACAGAGTTAATCCAAATTCAATTGTTTAGGTTTTAAAAAACTTAAACAGTTAAGTTTGAATTAACTCTTCGAAAACTAAAAACTTTGAAATAAAAATGGAAAACGCCGAGATAAACCACGCGCAATGTGCAAACACGCAGACTGCACGCTCCAAATGCAGACTTCGACATACAGTACTCTTTCGCTGAAAAAAAAATCGCTTGTAGCACATAATTTTTACTTTATTAGTATAACTTTGAGTCAAACTACATTGCTATCTTTATATATTTTTCAAAATGTTCCCCCCTCTTCGAAACCCAGAAAATATTTTCCAAGCAAGTTCATGATTATTTCAGAAATCGGCGAGAACCTCGAATGCCTGAAAAACGAGTCGGACGATCTTCAGCAGATCTGCGAGGTCGAATGCGGCATCCAGGCGAATGTCATCGAAAAAGCCTCGAAAAAGAACGAAGTCAAGGAGCTGTTCAACGTGCAGAACCTCTGCAAGTCAGGGCTCGAAATTATGAATTTCCATCATTTTTTGACTTGAATCTCTGGAATTTTTTTCAAAATATGCCATTTTAATTGTGCTCTCTGGCCTTTGGTAACATGAACCGGACGTCTCTGAGCACTTCTAGGGACCACTTTAGTAGCGTCAGTATTCTTAAGTGATCCCTAGATTTGCTCAGAGACTTCTTGACCGAAATTAGAATTTAGTAATGGTTTTTGGTAAATCAGAAAAGAACGAAAGAATTTAAAGAAACATAACGGAAATTTTAGAGATTCAGAGAAGATTTCTGATTATAGTGATCCAATTTGAACGCACTCTGATCATTTTTAGACAGTTTTGGACCGTTTTTCTATCAAGTCAGCATTTTTCAACCTTCTTTTTTCACTGCAACCATTAATGATCATTTTTAAAGGCTGTCAGAATTTTCTTTCAATTTTTGCTTAATTAAATTTATCCCCAACTCCCTGAGAGTTTTCGGGTTTTGGTAACGGCAACCGGAAGTGCTCCGGTAGTTTCTGAGCGGTTCTAGGGATCACTCAAGGGGCTGAAGCTACTTAAATGGTCACTAGAAATTTCCCATCACGTTCAAATCGCGTTTACGCGTTGTTTTTCAGAAGTTTTGATGGAATCTGTATAGCTGATTCACGGCTGACTTGAGTAATCGAAAAAAGGGTCCTGACACGATAATTCACGAGATAGCGCTGGGCTCGTGGAGAGCGCAGACAGGACACGCCCCCTTAGCGTCCCAAGTTTGCCGTGAATCAGCTATACTCACCCAACGTATGACTGTAACTCGGAAAATACCAGAATTTTCCAGCTCCACGGCCTGCCTAGTCCGTTGTTTCAAGGAGCGGATGCAGGGCAAGTGCAAAATCGGCGAGAAGAACATGGTGGACACGATTCTGTCGTCGGTGATCCGTGGCGAGGGCCGCGGCTTCGAGCAGGTCATGGGCTGGATCATGCCCGACGGCTGCAAGGACGAGGTTTGGCTAGAGCTTTTTCTGGAAGTTTTCACTGATGGGGCGGGAAGATAAAATCAGCAATCTTGGATATTTTTTGGAGCGTTATCTGAAAAATTATTGATTGAAGTGGATTCTGGAAGCTTTTCAGATAACTTTGATAAGGAGAAGGTCAGTTAGTTCTTCAGATTTTTTTTTCTCAGATTCGGGTCGCTAGTTTTTTTTTTTCAAGGGAGTTTGAGCTTTTCTTAATAATGAGGCTAACTTTTCTGAACTTCTTAACTTTTTTAATTTTTTTTTTCAGCTTCTCAACATTCTGATTTTCTCAATGGGATTGGTTCCATACAAAATTATCAATTTGATCAAATCATTTTTAAAGGGACATAACTAAATTTTCGAACTAGAGGAGTTGATCTAAATTACATTTTAATAAATCACATCAGCCCCATTTTTGAGCTCTGATACTAGGGGGATGACCTTTTTTGAGCCCTTTAGTGATCACTTAGCGTCTTTTGCTGCCTTTTTGCAGCCTTTTTGCAGCCTTTCTGCGGCCTTTTTGCTGCCTTTTTGCTGCCTTTTTGCTGCTTTTTTGCAGCCTCTCCCTTTTAACGGCCATTATTCTCGACTTGAGTTCGAAATCTGAGAAGACTATGATTTTACCATTTTACCAAAGACTTTAGTTCAACTTCTATCTGTTCTTACGAACTTGTTCCTTTCCAGAACCTGAAGTTGATCATGCCGGAGCGCCAACCGATCGACACGAGCCGACCCCTGAACGTTGGAACTGTTAGTATAGATATATTTTGCCACTTCCTATTGGAATAACTTGACACCTCGAAGGAATCACGTGTTGCAGCCGCGGACGCCGTCCTCCTCGACCACTACATCGGAAGTTTACAACGACGTCGTCCCCTCGCCCGACGACGAGAATAATTCGACCCAACCTGTAGAGACCGCCCTCCTTATTGATGGAGAGGTGAATCTTGATCGTTTCGATTGTAGTGCAGTTTTTTGTTGGTGTCAGAAGTAGTTTAAAAAACGGATGAGGAAGAATCTGGAGATGTTCTCCTGGTAGTAGAAGTGTTGGATTCATTTCTCAAAAATTTGAGTATCGTGTAGTTTTTACGTGTTCTTGTCATAATATATCATGAATCTAACCTGTTCAAAAAAATTTTCCTAGCCTTCTGAAAGCTCGAGACTTTGGTATCTCATCGCTGCAAGACGCACGACTTTTTGAATTTGGAAAAAAAGTAGCTTATGGAAAGATTTGATAGGGCGAACTTGGAGAGGCCGATAGAGTCTGTTTATAATTCATTTTTTGGCTCTCATAAATCAAAAAAAAAGTCAAAAAAAGTAGCGCTATTAGAGGGGCATAGTCACGCGCGAGTATTCCGACCTCGGTAACGAAAACAAGAAGTTTCTGAGCGATTCTAGGGATCACTTAAGGGGGCTGGAGCTACTTAAGCGGTCACTAGAAATGCTTCAACACGTTCATTTTGTGTTGCCGAGGTCCGAGAGCAAAATTCGAAAGACATCTTTTAAAAAAACTCTCTCGGACATTGGTAAAGCGAGACGGACGTGCTACGAGTGCTTCTGAGCGATTCTAGGGATCACTTAAGGGGGCTGGAGACATTTCTAGTGATCACTGTAGTATCGAATTGTAGCTTTAGTAGAACTACAACCGACCGAATTGTAGCTCTAGTAGAACTTTTTCGCCCAAAGAGTAGAGATCTTCAGTTTCTGAACTAGGAGAAAGCTTGGAAAAATCTTGAAATAATATATGTGATCGAAATTTTTCAATCAATTCCTTCCTGACGTCATATTGATTTTCTTGAGATCCGAACTCTCCAATGCCGAATGATGGACTGGGATCGGAACCCGGTCCAAACCCCGGACTTTGAGTCGCTGGCCAGGATCATGAGCGCCCAGTTGTTACCTTTCTCCTTCCCTGTCGATGACCAGAAGAACAATGGCACGAGGAGACCGATTTCCGTCGCTCCGTCTCTTCGTGATCCTGAAGGAGCTGAGGGTGATTTATTTTATTTTTTGGAATAATATTCCTCCCAATCATCTCAACAAAAATTTGAGGCAGTTGAATTTTTCTCCCACGGGACAAGATCGGGATTAATACGGATGTGTTTTAGATGGTACTTTAAGGATTTTTCGTAGGCCTTTTTTGGGTCTCTAAAAGGGTTAATTTTCTAGAAGAATCAAGAAAAAGAATCAAATTCTAATTTCTCATCATTTTTTCTTTAAGTTCTTTGATATGAGCCAAATTTAAAGCTTCAGAACGGCGTAAGCCACTTGAGTGATCTCTTAGAACTTTTTGAAAGGATCAGAGAGGGGATCCTGAGTATTTACTGAAGATAGCGAGGTCTATAACGCTCATTGTTGCATGGAGAATGATTTTTGCGTTGCGGTCGCGTCGCGGCTCACTCTAAAGCATCGGGGTATGCAATTGAGCTTGTGAAGAAACGCAAGTCGTTTCGGGTTGGGCGCGCTTTCATGGCCTTTATGCGTGCCTCTCTCATGCTGGCCAGGTGTCTCAACGGGTTTACCCGTTTTTCAAGCGATTTGAGTGTCAGTTGTGCTAAAACGGGCGAAAACCGGGTGTGAGAAGAACTGGGCGACCCAGCTTTCGAAAATGGGCTAAAACGGGGCCTCAGCTTGTGGTAAAGAATGCCAAAAGGGATAGCAACTGTGTTCATTTCGAAAATCTGGGACTTAACTGGGCTAAAACGGGGCCTCAGCCATGGTAGAAATGCCAAAAGGGATAGCAACTGTGTTCTTTTCGTAATCCTGGGACCGAGTAAGGCTAAAACGGGGCCTCAGTGGAGGAAAAATGCCAAAAGTTTTATTAACTGTGTTATTTTCGAAAAATTTGGGACTTAACAGGGCAAACAACGGGATCTCAGCTCTGGTGAAAAATGCCAAAAGGGCTACCAACTGCGTTCATTTTGAAGTTCTGGGACTTAACTGGGCTCAGCTGTGGTAAAAATGCCAAAAGTGCTACTACCTGTGTATTATCCGAGATTCTGGGACTTTAGTGGGCTAAAACGGGGTCTTAGCTTGTGGTAAATAGTGCCAAAAGGGCTATCAACTGTGTTCATTTTGAAGTTCTGGGACTTAACTGGGCTAAAACGGGGCCTCAGCCATGGTAGAAATGCCAAAAGGGATTCCAACTGTGTTCTTTTCGGAATTTTGGGACTTAAGTGGGCTAAAAGGGGGCCTCAGCTTGTGGTAACGAATGCCAAAAGTTCTATCGACTGTGTTTATTTCGAAATCCTGGGACTAAACAGGACGAAAACGGGACCTCAGCTGTGGTAAAAATGTTAAAAGTTTTCTTAACTATGTTCATTTTGAAATTTCGGGACTAAACAGGACGAAAACGGGGCCTCAGCCGTGGTAAGAAGTGCCGAAAGTGCTACCAACTGGGTTCCATTCAAAAATCTGGGACTAACATGGGAGGTCATTTTAGCGTAGGGTTCAGAATTTTTTCTAAATTCGCTCAAACAATCTTTGATGGACTGCGAATCGATCCCCCATAGTCGCTATCTGCACAAACTTTTTGTTTTGGAGATATTTTCAAAGTTTTTATCCTTAACCATGTGACGCCGTTTGGAAGGAATGTGGCCGCGCCACCAACCACTGCATGGCAGCTAGGAGCGTGGTGCAGTGGCAAGCGTGTCAGCCTGCGGAGCGTATGATGAAGGTTCAAATCCTTTTGCCGCTAACTTTTTTTGCCATTATTTTTTTAAAGAATTCTGATGAGAATATCAAAATTTCATGAGTAAAACCTTTCCAAATAAGTTCGATAGTTATTTTTCTTTTCTAAAAATCGCTTTTTTTTGATGGAAAAAAATCATGAAAAATTTCTAAAGTTGTGGCAGACTCCCCATCATCAGAGACTATTTTTTTGAAAATCAGCGAAAAATGTTTCAAAAAAGCGCTGAACCTTCATCGAAGATCTTCGCATGTCTTGGTTGTGATAAATAACAGTGGCTTTTCAATATTTCAATAGCCAATTTCTGCCTTACTTCTGGAGAAACATCTTTACAGAATATGAAAACTTACCTGTCATCCGAGTTTTATTGAAAAAAAAAATTTCCAAACCCCATTTCCATCCTAATCCAAATTTTTTTTTTCTAAATTTCAGGAATCTAAAAATCTTTTGAACAAAATGTTTTTGGGAAAATTCTCTGATGATGTGAAGTCCGCCACAACTTCAGAAAGTTTCCATAACTATTGTCCATAAAAAAAGCGATTTTAGAAAGAAAATAGCTATCGAACTTATTTGGAAAGGTTTTACTTACTTACTTTGATACTTTGATGGTCCATCTTCGCTGATGTTCTCAGCGTGGACCACACGTTTTCCAGGTGGCTCGGTCTTGCGCGACGGTCATCCAGTGGCGGCTTGGCTGACTGATGTTCTTGCGGAAGTAGTCCGTCCATCTGGTCGGTGGGCGCCCGAGGGATAAAAACTTTGAAAAATCATATCTCCAAAACAAAAAGTTTGTGCAGATAGCGACTATGGGGGAACGATTCCCAGTCCATCAAAGATTGTTTGAGCAAATTTAGAAAAAATTCTGAACCCTACGCTAAAATGACCTCCCATGTAAGCAGGCCTCAAACGGGATCTCAGCTGTGGTGAAAAATGCCAAAAGTTTCACCAACTGTGTTCATTTTGGGATTCTGGGACTTAACTGGGCTAAAAAGTGACCATCATCTGTTGTAAAAATGCCAAAAGCGCTACCAACTGTGTTCTTCTCGAAAATCTGGGACTTAACTGGGCTAAAACGGAACCTCAGATGTTGTATAAAATGCCGAAAGGGATTCCAACTGTGTTCTTTTCGGAATTTTGGGACTTAAGTGGGCGAAAACGGGGCCTTAGCCGTGGTAGAAATGTCAAAAGTGCTAATAACTGTGTTCATTTCGAGATTCTGGGACTTAACTGTGCAAAAAGGGGGCCTCAGTCGTGGTAAAATTTGGTAATTAATTTAAAATTTGGGACTTAACAGGGCAAAAACGGGATCTCAGCTCTGGTGAAAAATGCCAAAAGGGCTACCAACTGCGTTCATTTTGAAGTTCTGGGACTTAACTGGGCTCAGCTGTGGTAAAAATGCCAAAAGTGCTACTACCTGTGTATTATCCGAGATTCTGGGACCAAGTAAGGCTAAAACGGGGCCTCAGTGGAGGAAAAAATGCCAAAAGTTTTATTAACTGTGTTATTTTCGAAAAATTTGGGACTTAACAGGGCTAAAACGGGACCTCAGCCGAGGTAAAATTTGGGACTTAACTGAAAGTTTGGGACTAGACAGGGCTATCAGCTGTTGTAGAAAAAATGCCAGAGGTAAACGAGGTGTATACGGGCACGCCCGCTGGGATTCCGTTGTTTCCTGAAACCATCATAACCTTCAAAAACGACGTCTTCTGATTCAGAAGACGACCTGGCGACGTGGCGCGGCTCTCAGGCCGACCAGGTGATCCCGCGCCAATCTTCGGTGCAGCTTCTCTCCGCCTTTACCGCCCTGCTCCCGCTTTTCTTCCGCCCTTGAAGCTCCCCTCTATTTTCCACCACCCTCTTCTCACATCTTGTACATATTCGCACTGACTTTTGCTTGTACACTGTAACCGACTGTAAGTATATTCGCATCTGATGCCGCTCCAATAAAGCGATGTTTTTGGGATTTTGATCAATTTATTTGAGTCATTTCCAGCTTTTTCATACTTTTTGTAGTTCAGGAACAAGCTTTTCCTGATTTTCTAAGTGAAGAGTGTTCCTTTAGAGGCTGGCTAGGTATTTTTGCACCTTAATCGGGCGCAAATTGGACAAGGGCATTTCTAGTGACCACTTTAGTAGCTCCAGAACTCTTAAGTGATCCCTAGAATTTCTCAGAAACTTCTGGCATTAACACGCTGTCTCTGTAACTTTCAAAAACAACGAGTACAAAAAAAATTTTATTTTTTGATTTTGATTAAACTTCATCCAGTGTGATAACCCATCATCAGAAATGCGATTGCAACTTTTTGAGCCATTTCCTCTTACTGTAGCCGGGTTACGGTAGGCAGGTGAGCACCTGCGTATCTAAGTATTGAAGAGTTTTAACAAGGCAAGTGATATATCAATCGATAGGTAATCCAATTTCAGGAACTTTTACAGTACATATCATCATGGGTTACTGTAGGAATTTTTGAGTTACGGTAATTTTTTTGTCCGGAAAGTCGGTTTTTCGAGTTCCAAGACGCTTCATTTTGGAAAAAAATTAAGAAAGTTGCGAATTTTGAAATTTTTTTTATTTTCGAAAGTTCAGGTTGATTTTTAGAGTTTTATAATTTAATTTTTGATTTTTTTTTTTTGTATTGACTTGTTTAAGGTTCAATTGTAGGGCTTGATTAATTCGTTTCAATTTTTTTGAAAGAGTATTTTTTTGAGACATTTTTTTCAAGTTAAAACTGATTTTTTTGATTTTTTTCAAATGTTCGTTTATGTCGATTTCAAAGTTCTAGGTTGAGTTTTTTAAGATCTTCCCAAAGTCTGGGGTTTTTTTTAAAGCTTAATTAAAGCCCTGGAGCTTTTTTTCTATTGTAGAATTGGGTCGTTAGGTAACTTTCCTCCGATCTTTGATTCAAAAAATTTCGAGAATTTTTCATAGTCTGTTCAAATTTTGAATGTCAAGGATTCGCTCAAGCTCCGCCCCCAAAAACGCGATGAACCAATCAGAACGCGAGGCTTCAGGAGCTTTTTTGAATGAGGAGTTGACAATCAAAATCTGTTCCATTTATTTTCAATTTTAAGAATTTTCACGTCAATTGAAAAAAACTTTTTATAGCATTTCACCTTCCTATTTCGAAGCGAGCATGTCGCAAATTTTCCTTTCTACGGATCCGAAGCAGGTTCGAAATGATTCAGAAGAGGTTGGTATAGTTCATAGAGTACAGCTGGATCTCCAAGTTTTGATCCTCACAACACATCTGTTCAGCCCGTCCGGTTTGGCACACTGTATGTTTAAATTGTGCATACACCAATAGCGGTTTTTTTGGGCCATATCTTTGTTAATAACGAGTTTTTTTGTACGAAAAAAATGAACAGATTTGAAGAAAAAAACGCAATTAGAACATTCTATGATACAAATTTATTTTTAACAATTAATTTTTTGCAAACACTGGCAAGCCTTAAAAAATGGCCTTATTTGGGGTATGCGTATTTAGTAAGTAAAGATTTTTTTTCCTATAATTTTTTATCTATTATTGTCGGAAATAACTTCTATTTTAATAAACAGAAAAAATTATCGAAAATGGTCTAGTATGGCCAGCGGAGACGGCGCAGTGCAAACCGGACGGGTCCCTGTAGGTCTGAACTGTCGTGACAAGGAGGTCGTTTCACTTTGGGACTGGGGATTCCCTGAAATCCGACCAGAATACTCCTTGATGTACCAGGAGAAGATCCTGAAAGTTTCAACCTTCAAAAATGACTAGTTTTTGAGAAGCGAGGGCTCGACGCCATTTCAACGGTTTTCAAGGGTCTCCAGAGTTCAAGATCTTTTTTTCTTGAAAACTAGGAAGTTTTCGCAGATTGACACGTTCAGAATCTCATTTTGAAAAGTCCCTGGCCGATTTTTGGAAAATTCCCAAAAGAAAATCAAAATGACCTTTCTTGGCAGTACTAACTTTTCAGATGGAAGACGGAGAAGATCAGAGTTTTTGAGAAGATGACGTCAAGATCTCCAGAATTCCTCCGAGAAGCTCTGGAATGGACAATCTGGACTAAGAAGAAGAAAAACGGTGATTTTTGTCAGTTCCTTTTTTTAACGAGATTTTTCGGAGACTGTCAGAATTTCTTGCTGATTCCAAATCTATAGTTAACTTCTTGGATGTAATGAACTTTGTAAGCGGCTGGAAAATTTAATTTGTCTTGAAAATCAATTGTGACTAGGCTTTTCCTTTACCTAGAAATGAGCCAGGGAAAGAATTTAGGGGTTAGAAAGATCTTTCAGCTTTTTCTGACCGAAAAAGGAAGCAAAATGACAGAAATTCATGATTTTCGCGATGGAGCGCATTTGATTTTATTCAGAGGGGAGGACAGAGATACCAGAGTGGTCCCTAAAGTGGGCCTTGAAGATTTCCCTCTAGGGATCACTTAATCTCCATCTATAGGGGACGCTGTCTTCTTAATTTTCTAATCGGATCAATAAATTGAAAGACCCTCTAGGGACCACTTGAATATTGGGGCTTAGGGCTAGACTTTAAATCTCTCTAGGGGCCACCTATATTTTACCCCTATAGTGGCTTATCAACAAGCCTCTATAGGGACCCCTCCAAAGCTCATGTTTCTAAAATTCACCTCTATAGGGACTCACTCTGGCGTTCCTAAGTGTGGAACTAGAATTTTTTTATATTTTTTTATCATTTTTTTCTCCTTATTTTTTTGAAGGGATTTTCGAAAAAGCCATTCCAAATGCGGCCATATACTTTTTTTAAACTTTTTTTAGTATCTTGTCTATTTTTTTCATAAAAAAATTAGAGAAACCTCATTTTTTTCCCCTCTTGAAGCTTCCTTTTTGTACATTTTTGCCCATGTGATGCCCCCCACCCCCCTCGAAGAAGTCGTTATTTTCCATTCAATTAGCGCCAACTTGTCCTCTGAAAAACTCGCCTTTCTTGACCGACGCCTCCCTAATTGTACCCATTTTTTTGTCGTTCCATTTTCAAAAGCTTGTAGAGTAAAAGGAGTAGTAGAGGCCAACCGAACCAGTTTCCATGGTATTACTTTAGTTTTCGTTGGTTTTTCTGTCGCTAGAGACCACTGTTTTTACAACATTCTCACGAAAAAATGACAAATTGACTGAGTTTTGACGGCTTTTCTGTCGATTTTTTTGATCTAAGTTGGGATTTTAAGATTTTTACACAGCATTTTTTCTCTCGATAAATTTGAGAATAAAAAGTAAGATTTTTAGGATTGTACACGTAGACTTGATCACTGTTTTAACACCATTTTCACTCAAAAAAAGAGACAAAATTGATGAGGTTGCTGATTTTTGATGGGTTTTTCTGTCGAGTTTTTTTCGATCAAAATTGAGATTTTTCAGCCCTTTTCTACTGATGTTTTTCGTTTGATAAACTTCGAAAAATAGGGTTGGTTTTTTTGACACTAGAGACCAAATTAAAATACTCTTTTTACAACATTTCCACTCAAAAAGTGATAAATTGGAAGGTTTTGATGGGCTCTTAGGGCATTAGATCAAAGTATTCTCGAAAATGAGCTGGTCATAATATCAAAATTGCTCTTTTTCAAGCCTTCTTTGTAAATTATTTTCAAGAAAGAGCACTGATTTTACAGCATTACCACTCAAAAATTGACTTCCATGGTTTTCTGTCGATTTTTTTTTGGATCAAATCGAGATTTTAGCGCATTTTTTGATGTTTTTTCTTTGATGGATCCGAAAAAGATCAGATTTTGTGACTTTAAACGGAACTAGACCACTGTTTTTTCAACATTTCAACTCAAAAAAGTGACGAATTGACTGATTTTGATGGAGTTTATATCGATTTTTCTGAACAAATTGAGATTTTAAACTATTTTTGCCGACGTTTTTTGAGAGATTACATGGAAAAAAAGATGGTTTTTCGCCACTAAAAGATCTTTCGAGATCACTATTTTCCTAAAAATTCTTCCTAAAAAAATTAAACTGAAAAGCCGATGGTCGCAAGCAGAATGCCTTAAAGACGCGTCCGACCCAAAACGACTTGCGCAATCGCTTGGTAAACTGTTGAAAAAGCTGCTGCGAAACTTTGGCCATTCTCAGTGCGTCATTCAGCAGTATTTTGATTCCTTTTTGTCTATTTCATGGATTTTTGGTTCCTTGAATGACTACTTGAAATTTGAACCATTTTTTGTCAATTTCCCTTTGGTTTTACATGTACTGAAGCATGAAAAAAGTGCGAGAATCGATATAATCCCGAGGCACTCGACCCCCTGGCGACGCCACTCGAAAAATGTGCACCCTCTGATTCAAGTGAGACGGTTTTTTCGGCACTTTTTGTTATATTAAGGTAGATGGTGATTATTTTTGGACGTTAACTTTGGAAGGTTTTTCAATTTTTCACATATTTTCGTTGGATTAGAAGCTATAAAATTCGGAATTTCAAAAAGTTGGGAAGGCGCAGAAGCCTTTGAAAACCTCATATAACTCTGAAAACGGCTCTTCGCTTCAAGACCCTTACAAGATTAGCCTATGCTCCTTTAAAAAAATTCAAATATTTGCCCAAAAACAGACTTTTTAGTGTTGTAGAAGTTGAAAAAATTCAAATTTTTGAAATTTCGACGATTTGCTTACCCAATAATGGAGTGAAAGTAAAGCTAGGCTTAAATTTAAGGTCATAAGGTCTTTTTAAAGGCATTTTAAGGTTTTTGTCGTTTCATAGACGTTTTTAGAGAAGTTTCGAGCGAGTTTGTGATTTTCAAGGCGTTTTGATGGCTTTCAAAGGTGTTTTGTCGTTTTTAAGGCATTTTTCTGGTTTTTAAATGTAGTTTAAAGGCTTTGAGAGGTGTTTCAGC